TCAGTTTATGCTACTCTTTTGTCTATGAACTGAAGTTACGAAATTTTGCTATCAGAATTAGCAATTTGTTACAAATTGCCGCCTAAAATTACTTTTGATATCTGAACATCACTTCGTTAACATTTATCTCAGAAATGTTTTGCACTTAGTGTTTTTATGAAAAAAGGTTATTCTTCAATTACTTATTATTCAAACTTTCACAGACAAGCAGCAATACTAGTCGACAGAATCTGTTCTATCAAAGTTCTTTAGAAAATTTTACTGAGCAAAATGACTCATTCATATATTTGTTGGTTCACTCAATGCACTCATGCTCAAAATTTGTGATTCATTTTATTCTGATGGTATTGCAATTGTATTTTCTCAACATACCATCAAGAACTGAAAATTTTTGAAAATTCAGCCAATAACTTTACTTTACTTTGTTGTTGCATTTTTTTTTAAAATTTTTTGCTGAAAAAATAATAAATGCATGAATAATTTTGAAAAATTTCAAAAATTCGAAAGTACTGCAAGGAATGGATCTAGAATCAGTTATTAATGACGTGATTCATGTTTTATCTACTTGTCTCTGAGATAGATTTTTCTATTGCTCGACTTATTTTTTTTATTCGCCTCAATTTTATTTTCTTTAAATTTCTACGTGACATGTGAAAGATTATTCTGTATAGAGCGGAATTTCCAAAAAAGTCATTTAGCAGAACATGAATATAGAGTTACTACATAATTTCTAAAAGAAGACGTGATGGATGTATAATCAAGTTTTTTGTCATTTTTTTCTCCGTGCAGTAGTCCTCTCCAAGTCTATTCTGAGAAAAAATGACATCAGAAAATTTGCTTATTTTTATTGAATTGTTCATTAAAGTGCAAGTATGCCAGTGTCAGCAATGTACTTTTAGTACAACTTTTTTCTTGCGGAACAATGTGAGGCGTGAAATTTGCATGTTTCCTTCTTAGCAATAAGTATGTCATGAGACAGTCAATATGCAAATTTTATTTTTGCTATTTGCTGTGGAATTAATCTTGTTGATTTATTTGCGGTCGTTGTCTATTTGTCCGACTGGTCTGTTCGATTTTACTCTCCCTTATTTTGATATATCATGTAGTTTTTGCGAGTCCATGATTAGCTTTCATTCTATTATTCTATAATTAGGATAGCCAGGATTTATTCTTGAAACTAAAGTGCTCATTTTAATATGACGTGACGTTAAATGTGATGTAGTCCAGTGTGAGTAGAAAGAGGTCTTGCACATTTTTATATTAAAACTTCTAGGTGAGCTGCAAATAATGGAACAAAAAGGGCAAACTATTTCAACGGAAGAACAACGTAATTTTGAAGGAACTCTTTCTAAGAAGAAGAATTATGAGTAAGTTTTGTTTTTGGATTATTTGTGTAAGATGGATCTAAGTTAAATCAGATCAGTGGAAAGAATGAATCGATCTTGTTCATAAATGCTTTGTAATAGATAATGATAATTCACATTGGCAGCAGTGAGATTTGGAAATACTAAAATTCTGTATCATGACAGCTACATTTAAAACCATATTCACAAGAGATCATTTGATATTAATGGCCGAATTAGACTTAATCAAATTGGGATTTAATTTGGATTCAAATTATCACTGTTTTAGATCATTTAGTCACACTATTTTCTATGAAATATCTAAAAAATGATTCGAGATAAAAAATTTTAATTTCGGAAGAATAAAAAATTAACTGAAAAGATGAACAAGTCATTTTTCTTTCATATATCAAACTTAGTTTGAGACTTGTCATCGCAACATACCACAAAAAGTTTCAATACAAAACAATTAATTTTGTATGCATTTTCCATTTCATTTTTTATCAAATATAAGGTGCAACTAAACAAGAAATCACTTGCATCAATAAAGCACAGTGTTCAGAAATGACATTGGCATGCGTAACATGCAGTAAACGAAAGTTTTTCAGGATAGTTACGGTTGCAAGCGGTGGTAATGCGAATGGAAACATAGACTTTGTGGATTCGACAGATGCAAGAAACTTGGAATTGAGCGCAATGGGTGGAGTATTTTCAAAACTTTTTTATGATCGTCCTCAAGATGAGTTGAATAGCTACAAAAAACGTATTGACGCAAACACGGAACTACAACGGGAACACGCTGATATCATGGCTGCTTTGCAACGAAAAGTAAAATTATAGATAAATTCACTTCATTAGTGACGTTAATTTTTTGAATGACTTTAATTAATCATTTACTACAATTAATGCTTACACAATCTACTTTCTGGGCAACAAGATGAATTTTCATAATGGAGGATAAAAATTCAGTTTTGTGAAGCAAGTTCATATAGGAGAAACTGAAGAGAGTTACAAATATAAAATAAATGAAGAATAAAAAATTCAGGTTGAAGAATATCGACGACGTTTTGCGGATATTGAAGGAAGTTTGGCTGTTCACAAATTCGAAGGATCAGGAGATTTAGGAAATATTAAGCTACAGGACGAGCTGCTGCTTAGTTCAAAATTGAAATTGGAAGATTTGAGTGATATTGAGTTTGTCCATCAACTGTCCGATGAACGTCGACGGTTGGTAATTACATCATATATGACAAAACAGATACAACTTTCTTATATGTTTCATATTGATAATATTTAGTGAGAAAAAATTGAGAATTTAGTATATTGTACAGGGCAGATGATCTCGTAATTCAACTCGAGCAGGAACGTCTTCAAAATGAACAACTCCAAAATGAGATTCATCGGTTACGTCAGCAGTTCGAAATAAGTTTTCGTGACAAGGAAAGAGTCTATCAAAATCGGGAAAGAGTGAGTGTTTGAGTCATTCATCCATTAAAAGTGATTCACAAGAATCAATTCAAGATAGTATTATGATTGATGAATCTGCTTTTAACTGGCAACAGTGATGAAGTCATGCATTTCATAGTTTCTAACAGTAATGTTTATAAATTATGACTGCAACAATAATGTTTATAACATTATGACTGATGATAATGCAAATGAATGTTGATGATCTTTCAGAACATCACGCAATATTTGGGTGAAGAACAGCACAAGATTATGGAACTTCGAAGTGAGCTTCAACGTGTGCGCAAACAATGCGCTGAATATAGAGAACAAACTGAACGAGACCTGGAAAATCAACGCAATGAATTTATCAAAGTAATAAGACATGTAAGCAGTTTGGTCAAAGGGATAAATGTTGAGGTATAGTTTTTCAATGTATTTTGCTAACTGAGTTGCATCAAATTGAATTTGAGTTTTAAAATTTATGATTAATTCAGAAGTTTTGTTAGTGCCATGTTTTTAAAAAACTTTCGATTGTTTTTGAATCTATCCTACGTGTTCTCCCAAAAATGCACTCGAAATTTAAGAAAAATATTTTGACTTGTTTTTATTAAATATTTAGAATGAAGGTGGTACGCATACTCATTCGTTGCTATCCGACTTTTCAAGTGAAAGTGGGATTGAAATGACACAAGATACCGTATTGATTGAAGCAGTCAAACGTTTTCACGAAACACAGGCACCATTGGGTTTGGGAATTGGACCAGAATTGATCACAGAACTTCGTCTTGCTCGATCAGAAGATGCTGGTTTACACACTGAACTCATGAGAAAGTAAATCGAGCTCTCTAACTGATTATCTGACTTATGCAGACAAACTTAATTTAATATATATCAAAGAAGAGTTATCATCTAATTCATTTCATTGAGTTAAAGCTGGCTGATCAAATTGAGATTTTAAAAAAACGTGTAAAAATTAGTGATTTGAAAAAAAAATTGTGATTAGAATGTTTTGGATTATGAACGAAGTTTCTATTCGCTTGCTAAAATAATTTCAATATTAAGATACGAAGAAAGTGCGCGACGAATTATTGAGTTAGAAGGTCGTGACGATGAAAATCACAACAAAATGCTTACACTAGAGAATGACCTGAAGCGTACACGTGATCGACTTGTCGAGAGTCAAGTACTTCTTTGTTTAGACTGTTGTTTGAATTAGTAAAAACATCTGTATTTTGATGTGATGATTTATATTTTCTGTGGCTACTTGGGCTCCATCGAACTTCTGAAATGATATTTAAGTTACTTAGTAATCTAACTTAAATATTATTTCAGAAGTTTGGTGCTTCATTCATTATTTAAATTAAGAGGATTATTTTTTTCAGAATGCTCTTCGTAAACTTTACGATATGGCTCGTGAGCATGATTCAGAAACTCAGAAACAAACAAGATCATCATCTCCAGGTTGTTCATTTACATGCAAAATTAAATATTTTTTCTACCATGAAAAGGATAATGACTATTTTGCTTAAATTTTGTACTTCGATCTAACTCATCGAAAAAGATTATTGTCATAGTAAAAATGAATACATTATGAGTAAAATATGAGGTATTTCGGTAGCAAATCAAAGCAAGAAAATTATTTTTGAAATTTTACAATAATTTACTCTATATCTTGTTATAGGCAAGGGTTTTATTCCTCCACCAGAAGTTTTGCGTAGTGTGCGTTGTGCCTTTAATACCCGTGGCAATGAAAACAATGTTTTACAGCGTAAATTAAAGAATGCTGAACTTCAGGTAGCAAATTTCTCGTTGTGAAAAGAAAAAAATGTAAATTTGCTACGAATAGAAATTTTTGCAAAGAATTTCATGATCACAATAAATTTTGTAATTATTTTAGCATCGAACATTTGATTTAAGAATGTAGAGAATAAAAAAGACTGCTAATTAAAACACTAGATGATGTGGGAACTTCACTATGTAAGCACTGAATAAATGAATGATAATAATCGAAACGGTGTTAGTTAAGTGGTAATTGTGATGATAGTAAAAAGATTGATATTAATACTAATATAAACATAGATATCTGAGTTGACTTCCAAATACGAATCTACTGATGATATTCGTCGTCGTCTCGAGAAGCAAATTTCAGAAGCAAATCGAGAAATTTCCAGTCGGTAAGTATGAATGGTAACTCAGTCCACAAAAAATCATGTTGATATTTTGCTTCAATTGTTGATTTATTTTTTTTTAATGAAATGAAACTGCCAAGCACTAAAATCGTATTATCAAATTTGTAGTCAGAAAGAGTTAGAAGATGCCAATCGTGCAGTAAAGCAACTAGAAGATCGTCTAAAAGTTGCCGAGCAAGACAAGATTATTGCTGATGGTGTAAGATGTCATCTTGAAGAAGAGATTCGGAATATGCGGGAGTAAGTTATTGTAATTAATAAAAATTACTTTGGAGGCCAAAAATTTGCAGATGTTTTTGCGAGCACACAAAGCTGTTTGGGGAATATAATGTAACGGATCAAAATTTGAAATCGGTCTTTTATCATTTTTAGACATTTCAATCGTACTTTGTCGGATGTGACGCAAAATGCTGAAGAAGATGCTTTAAGGCGTATCCGCGCTATCGAGGATGGAAACAGTACTCGGTTGGTTTACACAGATCACAACAATTATTTCTTCAATCTAACATGTCATATTAAAATACATTTTAAAATACCATTGTCAAACTCTGTGTATAGGTTAAGATGCTTAGATCTTTTTTCATGAATTCTACTCTGCTATAAAAGTCATTCAATCTTAATATTTAATGTATATTAAAATAAAGAAAGCATTAAATAACAAGATTGTTCAATTGCAAAGATTCATAGTTCTTAAATAATCAGATATGAAAAGCATTAGTAAATGTTGCTGCAGCTCGAGTGGCATTAAAAAAATGAATTAATTACTTGTAATATATGCAAATTTTCATGGAATAAAAGTTTTTGTATACTTCAGTGTAAGTGAACTTACTTCTCGCATTGAAGACCTTCTAGAAGATAATAAACATCTGAAAAGCGAAACTGATGAGACCAAAGATCGCATTCGAGACGTGGAGAATGATTATAATGGCGTCGTAAAGAAATTGGAAGAGAAGGGTAAGTTTGGGCCTCTGACTGTAAAATATTATAAAGTTTTATCTATCACTGAATTATGTCTGAATTATAGTCTCTAGCAGTGTTTCACATGGAAGTCATGATGAGTTTCATTGCAAAATGAATAACAGACTCATTGATATCATTTGGATAATATTTTTAAATTATTAGTTGTGCGAATTTACAAGGATTGAATTAGAGGATAATTATGAGAAAATATTGACATTTATTATGAGAAAATATAAGAGTAAACTCTTAGAAAAAACGAATTCGAAATTTCAGAGAGAATGTTGCAAAATTATATTAAAAACATCTTCAAATTTGGAAAGTGTAACTGTTTTGAAGCATTTTTTGTGTGGCATCTCAAAAGTAGTGCATTCTTAGAGCTGAAACAAAGGTTGCAAAATATTTTGTAGGTAATTTTACAACATTACCTTCAGAAAATGCTCTGAGAAATCTGGAAAATACGCGTCAAGAATTAGCGGAAGAATTAGAAGAACAGCGTGCGCGATTCGACGCTATAACGAGTGAATTCGATCATTTAAAGACAAATTATGATAGCGCAAGCAAAACTACAATTGCAATTGAGCTAACAGTGAAGGAAATCAAACAACAGCGTGATGAAATTTTGTAAGAGCTTTGTTTTATGGAAGTTTGACATTATCACACTTTTTATTAATTTGTCTTTAGTAATAACTGTCTCTGATTACTTGTCGCTGACCTTAAATACTTGATTGAATTAATTTTCGTAATTTCAGGAAGGAAAAGAAGATGTTGATGCAAACTTTGACTGATATGGAGAATAAATTGAACGATGAAAGTAAGGCACGTGAAGATGCTGAAAAACTTAATATACGTTAGTTTGTGATTCTTACTGTTTTTTGCTTGTTTTGGATTGAATTCATTTTGTACTGTTTACATTATCTACTAAATTTGATAGCTTATTTCGAAAACGAAGTCAGTTTCAGATCATTTGGATGAAATACATGATCTTAAGAAACAAGTTGAGGAATACGTCGCGCAGATCACAACATTCCGTCATGAAAGTAGCGATTTGGATACTCAATTAAAAACAAATCAGGCAAAACTAAGCAGTATGGAAACAACTTTACTTGCTGCTCAAAAAGAAGTCGGAAAACTGTCCGAGCTGAATAATCGTTTGCAGCAAGATAAAAATGAGCTGAATGCGTGAGTATCTACTTTCATTACTGTCAACTTTTTTTAGTAATTTCTTTCATGTTTGTGCTTTACATTATAAAAATCGCAATTCAGTAAATTTTAAGTTATTTGTGCTGAAAAGCCAGAATGATTTATTTTTTTTTAATATTGCATATAAATTAAAATAATTTTAATTGGTGATCTTTTTATTTATTTGGTGACTGTAAAGTTTTACAGTTCCAAGCAGAAGGGTGATGCAGAAATTAATCTTTTACGTGAAAAAATTCGTAAGCTAGAACAAGACATGGAACGACTACGAAAAGAACACCAGGAAATGGAGAATCAGATGCATGTAACTGATGACGGTCTCAAGAAACAAATGAATCAAAATCATCTGCTCAATAAAGAACTTGAAGATGCTCGGACTGAGATCGACACTTTGCAAAGTAAAACTTGGTTTATGATACTGTTATAGTTCGACCATTTTTTTTATCTGTAATATCCTTATAAAGTTATAAGTACTGCCAAACTAGCAGCAAAATTATATCCTTTCTTCTAGATAAATTGACTCAAATGGATACGGAATTCAAAGTGACGCTACAAGAGGCAACCAGAAAACCACTACAAAAACCAGGTGATGCAAAAATCATATTTTATGTTTAATGTCATTATAATAACATATTGAAGGAATCAAAATCTTTTGAAAATGTATAGAAGAGCTAGAATATTTTTTTGATTGTGGCGAAGAGGAAAATTATAAGCTGATAATTTGAAGTTATGCGTTGAAAGTGTAAAGAAATAGAAAGTACCAGAAATGTTGGTTACGATCAAGGCACTTATTGAACTTAATAAATTCTGCAGAAAGTGACAGTGCCAAGCTGATCAAAACCGAAACAGAAATCTATGAAACCAAATTTAAACTTGATATCGAAAAACTCGAAAATGAAAAGGTCATTTTTAAAGTTACTTTTGACATCATTTTGGTGGATGTGATTGAATCAATTTTTTTCGTGACTATGTGTTGTTGCATGCTTCAGATATGTAGAATGTAATATATTAATCAGGAGTAAGTTTTCTTTTCAGGAAGAATTGAAGCAACAGATTATTAATCTTTATGTAGAAAAGGACGATAAGGATGATCAGTGCCGTCGTTTAAATGCGGAAATAGATGAATTAAAGCATAAATCGCAGAGCGATATCGAGAAAATCCGCAGTGATATGGTGTGCACCCAAGAAAAATATCGTATGGAATACGATAATGAACGTGATAGTCATGCAAAAGTATGCTAAAACTTTTGAACAAAAGTTTAGAGTCTTTTCATTAGATTCTGCATGATTATAAAAATTTGATATTGACGTAAAATTTTATTTTTCAAATTTAAGCTATTACAATACAACAAGATGATATTTGTAGAAAATCGATTCATTAAATGCAACAATCGAAGAGTTGCAAATAAAATTGGGGAATGCTGAGCGAGCGCTGTTAGACTTCCAGAATCGCGGGAATATTCTTGAAGGAGAAAATAACGAACTGAAAGAAAAACATGAAGTATTATTCTCAGAAATGGAACAGTTACGCAGCGAATTAGGAGCAGTACGAAATGATGCAGATAAAGTATGTATTTTGAAATGGATTTTTGCATTTACAATGTCCTGAAAATCAGACTGCTGTACAAGGATGAGAATTTCGTAAATGATTTACAAGTTATAACTATCTAACTTCGATGATTGGTATTGTTGTGAAAATTGTAAACACAAACAAGATGACAAATTTTACTATAATTGAAGCTTATTTAATTTATAAAAAAATTGAAATTCATTTTGTTCACTAGTCACTAACTGATAAATCATTGATAGTATTATAAAACTGTTAATAACGTCGATCTTCTTACTCCATACTGTTTTTTCAAATGACCACTGTTGATGTTTGTATGTCAATGATCACTTTTGGTTGTCCTAAAAGATATCAAAGTGTTATTTTTCGGAGCACAAAAAAGTGATCTTTAGAATATTTTTTCTAATAATGTAACCAGTATTCAATTATTGAGTTAAAACAGGAAATTAATCGCTATAAATTGGATTTGCAAGCAGCAGAAAAAGAAATTAAATCGTTGACTTCCACCAATGATGAAATGAAAGTGCAGTTGAATACTGCGGATGACAAAACGAATTCGTTAAATAAGACCATTAGAGATCAAGAGCTCAAGATTCTCGACTGTGAGTTATTTAAGGAATAAATTTTCGTGAAGTCTAAAATTTTCAAGTTTTTTATTAATATTGGTAGTATAAATTAAATTAGTATAACTATATATATATGAAATGTGGAGGTTAGTTTTCGCTTTCGCTTTATTAGTTGTGGCGCTGGATCGCATTCCGGCACTCTAGCTGTACTTGTCACGCGCTCAGATTCGTTGTGCTCATCCTTCTGGCTTCGTCCTCGTGGAATCCATATCGACTGTCGAAGGAGATGCTTTCG